AGTGACAGATTGGAAACAGAACCTAAATTATGAGCAAGTACATAAACACAAATCAAATTTCTCCAGTAGGTAGTAGTCAAAGTCTGTAGGGTCTTCAGTAACAATAGTAACCTCAAAAAGTAGCCAAGTGCATTGCCTGAATAAAGATGGGACATGACAAGATGCTAGAATAGAACAACAAACAATTGTAAACTAATTGCCAAATTTAGAGTAGTTGGTAAACACAACAAAATAGTGACTGGAAAATTGGCCAAAAATTAACTATAATCTAGTGTAGAAATTACAATAAAATCATCCAAGATTTTGGTTACAGGCTCCATTGCAGAGCTTGTCTGAAAATGGTAAGATTATTAAATTTCATATCTGTTTTTTATCAACATGTAATTTTAATTTATATTTTGATCAGTTCTATTAGATGGTTAAAATATAGAATCATAGAATCATAGGACTGGAAGGGACCTCGAGAGGTCATCGAGTCCATCCCCCCGCCCTCAAGGCAGGACCAAGCTCCGTCTACACCATCCCTGACAGATGTCTATCTAACCTGTTCTTAAATATCTCCAGAGAGGGAGATTCCACCACCTCCCTTGGCAATTTATTCCAATATTTGACCACCCTGACAGTTAGGAATTTTTTCCTAATGTCCAATCTAAACCTCCCCTGCTGCACTTTAAGCCCATTACTCCTTGTCCTGTCCTCAGAAACCAAGAGGAACAAATTTTCGCCTTCCTCCTTGTGACACCCTTTTAGATATTTGAAAACTGCTATCATGTCCCCCCTTAATCTTCTTTTTTCCAAACTAAACAAGCCCAGTTCATGAAGCCTGGCTTCATAGGTCATGTTCTCTAGACCTTTAATCATTCTTGTTGCTCTTCTCTGTACCCTTTCCAATTTCTCCACATCTTTCTTGAAATGTGGCGCCCAGAACTGGACACAGTACTCCAGCTGAGGCCTAACTAGTGCAGAGTAGAGCGGCAGAATGACTTCACGAGTTTTGCTTACAACACACCTGTTGATACAACCTAGAATCATATTTGCTTTTTTTGCAACAGCATCACACTGTTGACTCATATTCACCTTGTGGTCCACTATGACCCCTAGATCCCTTTCTGCCATGCTCCTTCCTAGACAGTCGCTTCCCGTCTTGTATGTATGGAACTGATTGTTCCTTCCTAAGTGGAGCACTTTGCATTTCTCTTTATTAAACCTCATCCTGTTTACCTCTGACCATTTCTCTAACTTGCTAAGGTCATTTTGAATTATGTCCCTGTCCTCCAAAGAAGTTGCAACCCCACCCAGTTTGGTATCATCTGCAAACTTAATAAGCGTACTCTCTATCCCAATATCTACATCATTGATGAAGATATTGAACAGTACGGGTCCCAAAACAGACCCTTGAGGAACTCCACTTGTTATCCCTTTCCAGCAGGATTTAGCACCGTTAACAACTCCTCTCTGACTACGGTTATCCAGCCAATTATGCACCCACCTTATCGTGGCCCTATCTAAGTTATATTTGCCTAGTTTATCAATAAGAATATCATGCAAGACCATATCAAATGCCTTACTGATGCCTTACTTAATGTAAAATTTCCAAATATTAAAGATGCTATAGACATGCTATAGAGCAAATTTGTGTAACAAATGTGACCAGTGAAAGAAAGACCAGACTTAAAAATATCTCAACACTAGCAAGTGTAAAAGAAGAAAATGTTCAGCAGAGCTGAGGTTACACAAGTAAACCTTCCAATAATCAGCATATGGGAAAGGACAGCAAAATGATTATTTATGCTGACTAATGGATGGAGCAAACTCACAAGTTCTTACAGCATTAAATAGAAAAATGTAGTACAGACTTGTTATTGGGGGAAAAAAAATCCAGGTTTGTCAGCTATGAGAGAGACAAGAAACACAGAGCTATCAAGGGAACAAAATCATGCATACCAAAAAAAGTCAGTCTCTTTTTCTTTCTCTCACACACACATACACACACATACATAGAGAGAGTTTAAAGTGTCAGAGTGTCAGCAAAGACATTTTTATACTTGACCATGAATAGCACAGAAGGGTACATTATGATTGCACTGAACTTGATTGGGGACTGTTGCTCACTGATCTAAGCATTGGACTTGGAGTCAGAGCACTTGTATTCTAATGCCAGCTTTACCAATGACTTGCCCTTACCACTGTGTACCTTAGGGCAGGTAACATTAGACTTTGAGTCTGGATGGGCAGGAGTAAGTGGTGCTCCTGCTACATCCCTCCTGAGGGTAGTGGATGCTAAGTGGCAGCACAGGAGGTGGTGTTATTTGCTGACCAGTACTCCCTCTACCCCACGCTCCAGAAAAAGGGGGAGTAGTCTAGCCTACTAGCCTTTCATTTCTCCATCTTTAAAATGCAGACAATAGGATATTAATGTGTATCTACATCACAGAGTTGGTTGAGGACTGATTAGTGTTATTTATAGTTATTTTAAGCTATTAAATGCTTAGAATTATGAGTATTTATTGGGTAACATTTTGTAAGAGGGAGCCTAACCTCTTTGCTTTGTGCAGCCATGGTGTTCTCACCAGCAGGGTTTAGTACAAGGTATGTGGTGGAGCACTGAAGGTGGCTTTTTGCCATACATGTATCTGGTACATTTGGCAGCACAGAGCAGGATATTTCAAGGGGCACCTGCTAGTACAGTTGAAGTGATTCGTGTCAGCAAGCGTGTCCACTCTTCAGCAGTTCATTATAACATGGCCATAAAACTCTGTTCTGGGTTGAAACTTGGTGCAAATAATATACTGATCTGAGACTAGATGTGAGCTGTTTAGCTTCAGGTGCCCTCTTTGGGGTGTGAGGTGCCGAAGAGATGCTTCCATGTGAGCTCCAGTGATAAAAAATCATGTTAATTTTAAACCGGTTCAACTTAGACTCAGAGGTAGCAGTAGATTCAGCTGATCTCATGGGATTTGTCAGACATATGCACAGGGACATCTCCTACAGAGATGTCTCCTACCCACATCCATTAGCACCCTCTGAGTCCTGGGTGACTCTGGCAGGGGAAATACCTACAAGTTATGACCAACATTAACTTATGTGAGTTTGTTTTGTACCCTAGAATTAGACTTCCAGGGGCCTAGAAGGATGTGGGAACATACCATGGAACTGATACTGTACTTTCCTGTTTACACACATCCTAATACAGGACCTGCAGCTTAGAAAATAGGCCCTGATCCTCAAAACTGTGAAAAGACTGGTCCTTCAGTGTATTCATTCTGCTGTGAGAATGTGGGCCTGTCCTTTTCTTCTCTGTCAACTGGAAATATTTCACCATACAGAACCAGAAACAGCCTAATAGAGTATAGAGGTGGCAGCATTTCATAGCTCCGCAGTGCTTCATCACTTACCCATTTCCTCTTCAGTTTTAAGGGTTCCAGTGTTCTATATAAGGTAATGGGTTTTGTTTCTATACTGAGCATGCTGTGTGAAGCCATCTTGGGGAGCTAAGCATGGCTGTAGGGAAGAGATGTGGTAATAAGGAAGACATTTATAGCAGGGATTCCTGGATATTACTTTGGAATGAAGTCATATCACAGTCATTATGATACTTCTGCTCTATCCTTTGCTCCTGGATATTTCTGATTACTTTGTCACTTAGGGCATGTCTACACTGCAGGGCAAAAGGCAAATTAAGATACATAACTTCAGCTACATCAATTGCGTAGCTGGTCAAAATAGCTTAATTTGGCTTTTGGCGCTGTCTACATAGCAGAAAGTCAAAGGAAGAACATTCCTCATTCAACTTCCCTTACTCCTTGTAAAATGAGGGTTACAATAAGAAGTACTCCATCTTGAAATTATTTCAAAATAACAGCTTGCTTTGTAGACGTGCACTTTGTTATTTCAAAATAATGTCAGTTATTCTGAAATAACACTACTGTGTAGATGTATCCTTAGATCCACACAGGTGTACTGAAAGATGAAATGAAAGAAAAGCTAGTTAACTTAGCCCTAAAAGTCTTACGATGTATTCTCAATGTTCTTCTCCATTCAAGATACAGATCCATCTCCCCTTCCTCTAAACATGGAGGCTACGTCTACACTGGCATCCCTTCCGGAAAAGGGATGCTAATGTAGCACATCGGAATAGCAAAATCCGCGGGGGATTTAAATATCCGCGGGGGATTTAATATCCCTCGTGGTATTTGCATTAACATGACTGCCGCTTTTTTCCGGCTTGGGGATAAGCCGGAGAAAAGCGCCAGTCTAGACGTGATTCTCCGGAAAATAAACCCTTTTCCAGAGGATCTTTTATTCCTACTTTCAAGTTCAAGGATTAAAAGATCCTCCGGAAAAGGGTTTATTTTCTGGAGAATCACGTCTAGACTGGCGCTTTTCTCCGGCTTATCCCCAAGCCGGAAAAAAGCGGCAGTCATGTTAATGCAAATACCACGAGGGATATTTAAATCCCCCACGGATTTTGCTATTCCAAAGTGTCTAATCTGCATCCCTTTTCCGGAAAAGGGGTGCAGTGTAGACACAGCCGGAGTGACAATCATACAAATGTCTAACACTGCCTCATCTGTTTATGGAGTAGGAAAACAAAATTACTCTTTAAATGGCATATCTGCTCCCCACCCCACAAAGACTCTTCTCTCATCCAATCTGTAAAATGGGCTGATCACACAGGAAGGAAGAAAGCATTACCATAGGAGGCACATGTACCGATAGGAGATTTTCATTTTCTATATGTAGACAGTAGACATGCAGCCAAATGAAATAGCAGCTTTCATCAAATGAGGGGCTTGAAACACATGTTTTGGAGACAACGAGTAGACCTGTGGTACCTTAGAGACTATATGTTTATTTGTTAGTCTCTGAGGTGCCACAGGACTAGTCATTATAGATGACCTTTCATGGGTAAGACCCACTTCATCGGACGAGTTAGAAATGAAGTGGGTCTTACTCAGGAAAGCTCATGATACTACATGTTTATTTTTGTTGGTCTCTAAAGTGCTGCAGGACTACTCATTGTTTGTAACGTTACAGACTAACATGGCTGCCCCTTGAGATGTTTTGACGAGGTATCTCAAAGAGCTGCTGGTGCTAAATCACTTCCTGGGAGAGGAGAGACAACGAGAAATATGGAAAGGAAATGGGCTGAGCTGTGTAAAGAAGACAAGGCATTATTTTTTACAAGAATTCAGCTTGTCCTTTGTACCATAGCATGACAGCTGTGGTGTGACTGAGAGCTCATCACATGGGGCCCAGTTCTAGTTACTGTGTCTGAGACACAGCAGGAGCGAGCCTATTAAAATATAAGGAAACTAGCAGCCATCCTGTAAAAACACATTGTGGTGTGCGCCAATTTATTTAACCCAATGTTGCAACAAAGGAATGGGCATGTGTCTTTCAGGGAAATCCATGTTCACTCCTTCTCCTGCAATCACTCTCTCTCTGTAAAGTTTGTGTACTCTCACACTGCAGCCTCAGGATTCCTCATTGCACCTGCCACTACTTTTTGCTCAGCAGGAGGTTACAGAGTAACTGCAGATACCAGTGGCAGCCAGGTCTCCATGGAACACACAGTACAACAGTGTCACAACTCCTGTGAGAAGATGAGTAAAGGAAAGTAAGTCAGTATGGTTTTCCATTTAGAAAAGATAAAAATCCCTATTACTAGGGAGAATGGGGGAATATTCCCATACTGAGGGCTTGTGACAAAGTGGGACAGACTCTCAGTCAGCAAGGTCATGCTGGTGCACTGTAAGGGTGAGATTCTGGTCCTTCTGAAGACATTGGGAGTTTCATTAGCGAATTCAATGTGAGCAAAATCAGGCCTTGCACTCCAATTGTTGATGTTGTTTTTTTAATAGAGGAACAGGTACTTTGGAACTAATGTTTTTAAAACAAAAGAAAGAAATCTCCATACAGGAAGCACATTGTCTGGTCAGTCATCCTCTGTATTCCCTTGCTTTCTGCTGTTCATTTTTTGTATAGGTAATTGTGTTTTTGACTAAGCTTTCTTCCTCCCAATTCCCTTGCATCTACTTGATGCTGCAGTGAAATCATAATCCTTTGTTTATGACCTCACAGCCTGTTGCCATGGAAATTCAGCTTTGTGACTTCACTGGTAGATTAAGAAGGCGGCAAAAGAGTGTGAGTGGGAGACAAACCTTTGTTCAAACAAAAGGGCCCAATTCAGGCCTCAGTTACACGGGTGTAAATCCTGAGTAACTCATTGAAATAAATGGAGTGAGTGGGGATTGGCAGTGGTCTGACTGAAATCAGAATCTGGGCTAAATTATCTATGATAACCCTGAATGTGTGTGAAATGTGAAAGGTTTTATATGTGACCTAGGGCCAGGTTTTCACAGAAGGTCTTTCATTTGGGCTTATGCAACTTTGCATGAGAGCAAATCACAAAAGCAGCTTATGTCCAAACAAAAGGTGCCAGACATTCCTCAGGACGGGAACTCAGCTGGGGGATTGGGTTATTGTGGTGCAAGTGGGATTTGCTAGAGTGAATTCATTCATTCGTGTGGACAAGTCACGGGGCACAAAAATTGCACATGCAAGTCATTTGAGGTCCCTTTGAAATTCTGACCCTTGACATTTAAGAAGAATATATTTTAAAGCGTATTAGCAAAGTTCTTTCAGTAAGCCATGCCAGTAATCCAGGTTACCTATTCAGTTTTTTAGTCTGGTTTGAACAGTGGTTTTGTCTGATCTGAGACTTGTTACGAAAACAGTAAATGTTCCACTTAATTCTACATCTTCATAAAGTTTATATGATTATTTAAGCACATTTCAAACGACGGAGAATAACAGTACCAAGCCCTGCAAGTTTAGCTTGCTTTGTATGCAAATGACCTGATCTTGACAGTGACGGAGCACCTCCTGCAAGGTACTGTGTGTTTGCAAGTGTCACTGATTTCAGTGGAAGATGAAGGACATTCATCAGGATCAGGCTACAAAATTCCCCATAGCCCTGCATGAAACTCCCTTAGAACATTTTTAGCATCTGCCTATAGTGCTCTATTGGTATTGCTTTTCCGGTATGAGACAAGCATCCAAAGGTAGTTAATATGATGAATATACCATAGCTCAGTCTTTCCCGCTACAGCAGGATTCCAGTTCCTGGCCCATGCAAAAGCTGCTCTCAGAGCAGCTCAAAGTGTGATGTCAATTTTACCCCGCATTTTGCTTCTATACTATTCTGGCATGGCTCAGTCTCGGTACAGCAAAGAAGCAGCGGGAGTTTTGAGTCAGTGAACACATCTTGCCCAGAGGAAAGAAGTCCACAAATGATTGCCTTTCCGTGAATCAGAAGTGGAGACAGTGGTGCTGCTGTTGTGATCTATTTCCATTTGCAGGTTTGGATTGGAAGCTGATTAATGTGATCATCCTTTGACTGGCAAAGCTGTAATGCCACCAACATAGATTAGAACCCAGTCAGTTCAGTAGTGGAGTCCCTTTGTAATATACATGTACCACATTTCAAAAATATTTGCATCAGCTAATGCATTTCCAGTTGAGTCTGAGACTGCAGGCAAGCCCTAGATTTATTACCTCTGTCATGTGTAAAATAGCCTCCCTGTACCTCCTACCAACCTTCCTTCAAAGTAGAAAGCTACTTACATTTTATGACATGTTACATTATACTCATTTGCTGTCTATATGTATTACATTCTTGTATGGGTTTAAATATTAAGGGACAACTTTTTGCTTTATTTGATGGTGGGGAAGAAGCATGCATTAGTAAAACTGCTGTCATTTATTCCATCACATCAAATGCAAGTATGGTTGAACTAGCTAATCCATCACAAGAGAGGTAATACATCATCTCTTATTTGCTGGATACTAAATCAACCACTGGCTCAGGAGATAGACTTATGGATTTGATATGTAGAAAAGTATACCAAATGTGCAGCTGTGATGCGCAGGATTAATGTTAATATTTGCTAGTCTACAGTGGTTGCAATGCATCAACCTTCCCCAACGTTTGTTCAGACACTCTCCCTCTCTCTCCCCTCTCTCCCTTGGTGTTTAATTTACATACCACCCATCAGTCACTATCTTTCAAGGCTAGCAGAACAGAAACCGAAAGAGAACCAAAGGAGGGGGTGTCTGTCATACTAATGTGTCCTAGCACCTTTAAACATAATGGTCATTAGGAGCTGGGTAGCTGTAGAAAGATGTTGAGTGTGCAGGTATTTAGATTAGTTTATTCGACGGAGGCATGTAGATTAGTTTATTCGAAAAAGGGAAATGAAGCCGCGATTTAAATAATCGCGGCTTCATTTAAATTTACATGGCTGCTGCGCTGAGCCAACAAACAGCTGATCAGCTGTTTGTCGGCTCAGCGTGCTAGTCTGGACGCTCCCCTGCTGACATAAAAGCCCTTTATCAACTTCCCCGGTAAACTTCATCCTACGAGACATAACGGGGAGGTCGATAAAGGGATTTCAGGTCGGCGCGGGAGCGTCCAGACTAGCGCGCTGAGCCGACAAACAGCTGATCAGCTGTATGTCGGCTCAGCGCAGCAGCCATGTAAATTTAAATGAAGCCGTGATTATTTAAATCGCGGCTTTATTTCCCTTTTTTGAATAAACTAATCTACATGCCTCCGTCGATGGAGGCATGTAGTTTAGACACACCCTTAGTGTTTCCCATTTAGACTAGACTATCATAAGACGTGAAAGTGAAGAGGGTAATTCTGCCTAGCCCATCCAAATCCCATTGAAATCACTAGAATTTGGGTGGTCTATAGGGATGCAAGTGGTAGATGAAATTCGGTCCCAAATGTTTTGGTCTATTTTTATTATTATTAAATACTTTAAAAAACACCTAACCTCTGTCATTTGCCTGGCATGGTTCATTTGTGGCATGCTGTAATGTGTTTGGCCTCTGCCACAGTTGCTCCCTGAACAGCTCAGTGCACAGAGGGACTGCATTAACTGCATCCTCGGCCCAGCGTTGAAGGGGGCAGGAAAGGACCCCATGGGCACACAACAGGCCTAGTCCCTGCATTCTCTTTTGAGTTGTGACTGACCCTTCAGTAGGCTATGCAAGGGAGGGTGAAAGGTTTCTTCCCTGCCTCTTAAAAGGTCCGACTAAGGCATGCGTGTCAGCTTTCATTTTCTGCCCTAATTTCATTTCAGAGATTTTGTGGTCTTCTGTCAAATCATTAACGCTACTTCACATGCATTATTTTTCTGGCTGGATTTCCTTACTTGTATAAAAGGAAAAGAATAACAACATCTAAATGATCTACTAACCAAGTACAGTAAAACTCTGATGGTCCGGCATCTGATGGTCCGGTACTCCTGATGGTCCGGCACCATCAGGAACCTGGAAGTGCTCCAGGCAGCCGGACCATTGGAGCTGCTCTGCCCCCAGGTTCCCCGATTCAGCCGCTGCTAAAACTGACCAGCGGCTGAATTGGGGACGCCTAGGGCAGAGCAGCTGGGGTACTGCCGGGTTGGTCTCGCCGCGCCAAGGGTCGTCGCTACCGGACCAACCCGGCAGCACTCCAGCTGCTCTGCTGCAGGCGTCCCCGATTCAGCCGCTGCTAAAACTGACCAGCGGCTGAATTGGGGACGCCTAGGGCAGAGCAGCTGGGGTACTGCCGGGTTGGTCTCGCCGCGCCAAGGGTCGTCGCTACCGGACCAACCCGGCAGCACTCCAGCTGCTCTGCTGCAGGCGTCCCCGATTCAGCCGCTGCTAAAACTGACCAGCGGCTGAATTGGGGACGCCTAGGGCAGAGCAGCTGGGGTACTGCCGGGTTGGTCTCGCCGCGCCAAGGGTCGTCGCTACCGGACCAACCCGGCAGCACTCCAGCTGCTCTGCTGCAGGCGTCCCCGATTCAGCCGCTGCTGAAACTGACCAGCAGCAGCTGAATCAGGGATGCCTGGGACAGAGCCGGACTATCGGAAAGGGGGGCTATGAGGGGTCTGGGATGGCATCCGCCCCACCCCACCCAAGACCCCTCAAAGCCCCCCCTTCCGATAGTCCAGCAAATCTGATAATCTGGCACCCCCTGGGTCCTAAAGGTGCAGGATTATCGGAAGTTTACTGTAGTTCACAAAAGCTCCTTATTTAACACAACAGTGTGCTAGTATAGCCGATTGTGTCTCTTCTTGCATTGAGGTTTGGTGTGTATAGATCATGGACCCATTAATTATCTGGCAATAACAACTCCCTAAATAAACATCAACTCTGGATGGTGTCAGTGCTCAGTGTGCAGACATCATTTCTGAACCTTGTCCTTGTATTGCACTCAGGGGGCCATGACTGCTGAATCCAGGCCAGGACTTAGGGAGACTTTAGTGTGAGGGCACTAAGCAACCAGGTCTATGTTAGATAGTTTGGGGAGCTGGAGAGCCAGAGAGGCCTACAGAGTCAGTGCCTCAATAAATGGTCATCTTTGCATTTATTCATTACAACCAAGTTCTGTGTCTTCTCTATTAGGACAGGCTTTGCAGTGCTGATGGGCAGTTGCTTTCGGACAATTGTCCATCCCTTGTATGTTGTCAGCCAGCTAGTGACGCCCCTTTGTCACATGACTTCACTTTCCTCTTAACATCCGTCTGTTCTATCCCCATTCTAGAAACACAGCCAAAGACTTTCATTTGAAAAAATGACCTTTCCCTTCCCTCTAATAACTAAGCAGCACCCCTCCCCCGCCTCTTTCTCTTCTGTTTGTAGGTATTATTACATTATATTTTTATTTTCAGCATGTATAAAGTTTTTATAATGAAATTATCCGAGTTTGCTCTGAGGTTCTGGTGCTGGGTGCTTTACAAATTGCATTGTTATATTTTTAATGAAAGTGGGCTGTATGTTCACTGAAAGCCTGCACATTAAATCTCCTTATTAATTTGTCTCGCCACCTGTCAGTGCTCTTGTGTTAGCCCCATTAGCTTAAATGGGAGCTCTGTGCATGCCCCTCAGGGAGCACAGCCCCATAAATATGTATGCACAGTAATCCATTTTTAAAATGGAACAACATTGCTATTACAGTTAATATTTCAATATAGCCAAAATGTAATGGGTTGGATTTTGCTCTCAGTTCTGCCGCTGCCACTCCATGGATTTCAGTGCTTTACTGAGAGTAACAGCACTGCGTCCACATTATGAACAAATCATTTTCAAAATAATGATAAAACTGCAGTTGAGTCCACCTGATCTCACACACATCATCTCCCACTTTTTGTTTTAGAAATATGCTTTGCTTGGGAAGCCCTTTGGTCACCTCCATCTTCTTCCCCTTGTGCTTCTCCACCTCCACCATCAAAAGTGTCATGTTGCTGCATGACTGCTGTGCCCTCTTCCCAATGAGTTAAAATAAATATGATCTCTTCCACTAGAGCACTTCAGTTTCTTTCCTGGGTTTCCCAGAAGGGACTGTTCAAGAGTGCTTGCTCCTGGCCTTCTATAAGATAAGCACACTGTGAATCTTCACAGTGTCCCTTATAAGATCAAGAAAATGATGCTGGAAGCCACATAGATGGAGTCTTACGATCACTGCCTCTGATTGGCTAAGTATGTTCACATAGCAATTCAGTGCTAAATAGATTTGGCTGAAAATTTTTGAATTCCAAATTGTTGTCAGGTTTTTTTTTTCACATACTGCTAGTGTAACCTACGCACCTGCTGGGTGTGGTGTATTGTCCCGTCTAGTGGCACTGAGACCACTTACAAAGATAATGTCTGTTCTGACTTTTAGTTCCTGTGGTAGCGGTTCACGCAGTATGCGCCAGAGGTCCCAGATTTGTTCCGCCCGCAGATGACCAGGGTCTGTCAGTGTTACACTAGAATGCATTTTGCCTCATCTTCCGCTTTTGCCTGTTTGTCTCATCCCAGGTCACTTTTTAGGGCCCTGTTCCAACTAAATATGTAAAGCAACTACTCACAGGCTTAAAGTCTGGCTAAATCAGCGCTTTCAACTGTAAGCTTCTGGGGTAGGGGCTGTCATGTACTATGGCTCCAATGCAGGAAAGTTTTTAAGCACTTACTTAATTCCTATTGAAATAATGGGAGTAAAATGTGCTGGGAATTAAGCGGATGCTTATGTTCTTTACTGACTGGGAATGGACTATTGAATCAGAGACTGTATGTTTGTGTCTAGCACAATGGGTCCTGGACCTGTTTGAAGCCTGGAGATTCCACTACAGTAAAAATGTTAAATGTTAGTACAAAACCAATGGACGAACTTTATAACAGCACCACAGTATGTGGCTAGTACTGTTTAGATTGCAGTCTGGAGTGTAAGACTGAGTATAAAAGACAAAAGCTGCAGCATCTGGAAATAGACTGAAATGATCCAGTTGAGATCTTACAGACACTGTCAGTTTGATAGAATGCATGATTATCCAATCTACCAAATATATAAAAACTGCCTATGTGTTCCATGATTTTCTAAAGATAAAGTGTCAACGTGGCTTGTATTGGAAAGAAGAAAACCACAGTTCCAGTTGGGGTATGTAGGGTCTGCTAAAATTATTTCCATGGCCCAGACTCAGGAAATAAAAATGTTAATGTTGAGTTGCAGTTTCCATTCTAGCCTCTATTTTTGGTTGCTTGTAATTTCATCAAACAAATTACATTTGGAATGCAATGTAGTTTCCATGCTTGGCCTCAGCCTAAAGATGACTCTTTTGAAAAGTCTCTGCAAAATTAGTCTGGCTATTTTTAAGTTACGCGGGCCTAACGAGCAATCCACTTTGCTTGTATGTTCTGACTGACATGTTTGTGATCACGTAGCTCACAAAGAGCTGATGCTAGGACATTTGAACACAGCTCATTTCATAGCCCCTGGTGCTGCAGTAAACAATTCACATCTGCAGGAAATCAATTCAATATTTCAGAGTTATGAACATTTAAAGTTCAAAGCCAAGTTCTATGCAGCCCCATCAAAACTCCATGGTGAGAGTAGGATTAGTGTTGGCATGTTTGATACATACTTATTAGCATATGTATTTTTCCCTCCGACATATTAAACAGAGGCAGAAAACAGAGTGTCTCAATTTCATTTACTTGATGAAGCCAAATTCCATTTTCCTTGTGATCTGTAGGATAAAGTATAAACTTAGAAATATAGTTTTTTGCCATTGTTAAGATACCTGCTATGAAATGTCAGGTTTGCACAAGCATCTGAAGCAAAATGTGGCTCTTGGCTAGTTGATAAACTTTATCATTATTTATTTAGTACTTTTTTTGTTGCATTCAGCATCACTCAGTGAGAAAATATACTCACCTTGCTAATTTTGTTTTGTATTTTTCTTCTTTCCCCATCCTTTCTCTGTTTCACTCCCTTTTCCCAGTCTTTATGTCCCTCCAGTGCTCTTCTTTCTTCATTTCCTTCGTTACTGGAATTCCATGAGCTGTGGGCTTCTCTCTCACCACCTCCCCCACTCCAACTGCTACAGTAATCAGCAATTCAGTAATAAATGTTTACTTGATTAACACCCCTAGTGAGGTTAATGCAGGCTGGGGCCTGGAAATTTACTTTTTTTTTTCTTTATTTAAAACAGCATCTTAGATTCTTCATAATCTGACACTGTCGGGACCATTGTTGCATCTGTAACTCACCTGATTGAATGGACATTGTTGTTTCAATCAAGCTGGGGACTTGGCTAAAACTCCAGTTGCCTAGTGGATATTAACATGGCAATCCTCAGCAATACACATCTTCATCTGGAAATCGGTTATTTGATCCAAGAGTCATGAGTAGCAACTGCAAGTAAATGATCAAGAAAAAGAACATGTTAAAACTTCTGGTGTCCATGTCCTATCTTCAGAATCCAATGACATCAGGTTGTCCTATACTGGACCATACAAACTTAAAATGAATAGCCGAAAAAGAGGAAAGTAGCTTCAACCTAATGCTAAACTCATTACAAGAAGCCCCACTAAGGCGCATTCCTTCCCCAAAGCCCTCCTGAGGCAGCATGGTGCTGCTTTCCATGCCAATGGCTAAATGCAACAGGCTGGTCCTCAGACAGTGTGCTTTTTCTCTCGTTTTCATTCAGGGATGAGTAAAGGTCAGAATATGTCAGCCTAGATTGTTAGCCAACTCGGTCTTATTATTTTACTCTCTGTGAGTTTAAATCAAGTCCTTTGCATTATTCAAATGTTATATATCTGTGCTTGAACTGACCCTGGCTCTGTGGGGGGAGGAGGTGTTTATGATTAAGCATGGATATAATTTTTGGCATTACCTGGCATGGGAAGGCATTCTTATAAAAGAATTTAACCTTCATGAGCTGTATGATCCAGGTATTTTGTTTATGGTATTTTGCTACATGTACATATGATGTCTCTCATACTAGACAGTTTTGCCTCTCGGTCTGCAATAGAATCTAGCAAGGTGTTTATCTATGCACCTTAACGTAGCGCTAATAACATAGTGAGTGCAGCAGCAATTAGCTAGCTCATTGTTCTCTAGGATTCATGAGACTGGAGAATACTCCAATACCTTGGATACTTCAGACTACTTATCCATTCTCAGCATGTTTTGTTCCTGTCCGTGGAACATTCTCTCTTATGCAGCCAGTGTCACTCACTTTACTAAATTCTGATAAACTGAAACTCCTGTTGACTCTGACAGAAGAACCTAGCTCTAATTAAGTTATGTGCTGCATTCTTCCTCAAAAGGCTTCTAATTTATGTAATAAAAAATTAGTGAATAGAACTTAGTGAATTAAATCTACAAACAAAAACAACCACTACCACCAAGCTGCCCAGCCAAGTTCCCCAAAGCTTTAATTAAATGATCCAAAGAGTTCTTTTCGTTGGGCAAGAAGCAACTTCAGCATAATAACTCACACTTCATGGAAGGGCCACACATGCTAAGCTCTCGGGCAGCTGCCAAGGTTGAACTTGAAGAACTGATTCCCGTGAGTGCCACTAACAATGCTTCTCTTCTGTAAGTCGGGCTTGATTATATTTGTTCCCGTGAATGAGTGAGTGATGCATTTTTTAAATGCAGATTAGTGATGTTATTTTTCCCCGAGTCTAAAAACATTATCCAGCATTTCCAACCCAGCTCCAGTGTGTTTACTCAACAGCATTCTGTTAGGAGTTGGGGGGCAGGCACAGGGACTTGTTAATGAATTATGCCAGTTATTGCACTCCTGACTTTCAACCATTAAAATTATTGCTCTGCAGTACTGGCTTTAAATGTGCTGTACAAATGTTATCGATAGAGCCCTGCAAATCCACAGATATTCACTTTATATCTCCAGGTTTCCGCATCCACCGATGTGGATATCTGTGGTTCATTTCTGCAGATATGGATGTGGGTACCAAATCTGTATCTGTGCAGGGCTCTAGTTATGGAACACTTGGCCTTGCAACTTCTCAAATACCTGAGCCAGTTCCTCAGCTGGTCAAAATTGGCATTGCTCCATTACTGTCACACATAAGCAGGAGAATCTCAAGTAGGAGTAGAGAGGTGTGACTACTGCAGGAATTCTCTGTCCAGTTCTGATGTCCACAATTCAAGAAGGATGCTGCTAAATTAAAGAGGCAGAAGAGCCATGACAAAAATGAAAGGATTAGAAATCCTGCCTCATAGTGATGGACTGAAGGAATTTACTCTATTTATTTTAACAAAGAGAAAGTTAAAGGGAGACCTGATCACACTCTGTAAGTGCCTGCTTGGAGAACAAATATTTAATAATGAGCTCTTCAGTCTAGCGAAGAAGGTATAACAAAATCTACTGGCTGGAAGTTGAAACTAAACAAACTTAGACTGGAAATGAGAGTAATAAAGCATTGGAACAACTTACCGAGGGTCATGCTGGAGTCTCCATTGCTAACAATTTTTAAATCCAGACTGGATGCTCTTCTAAAAGACCTGCTCTAGGAATTATTTGCAGGAAGTTCTATGGCCTGTGCTCATCTGAGAAGGTCTGATGAGTTGACTAAAGTAGCCTTGGAATCTATGAATATGAGCCTCCTACCTGTGTGTACTGCCACATAATACTGGAGAATACAGACCCTGCTCCCTCCCTACACTTCCCTTTCTGTTTTGTTCAACAGCATTTAAAAGTAAATGGTAAGTCTTCCAAGGGTTCTTCCTCTATAGAAATTCCATATGACAATTTAAATATGGTAGAGTGAGGATATGATTTGCTATTAAATTCCACAGATTAATTAAAGACTAATGTCGATAGAACCCTATTGGTTCATCCCTAGGAAATTCTATTGGATTCATCTATATGCACCCGCAGGCCTTAGCACTCAAATGGAGCAAGACCATTCACCATTCTCCAGAACTGGTCGTACATGAGTGGGGAAACATGTTGCACAGTTGGTACAGCTGATGTGCTATGGTGTACTATTAGCAACTTGGAAGAATTTATGTTGAAACAATCACACTCAAGTGGATCAAACAGACTGACCCCACAGTGTTATGGTTGAAACCTAATTTCTCTCCAAGCCTTTATCCTGGAGCACAAGTTAGAATGAAGTAATAGTTGTTACATAAACACACATGCCAAACAGCAAAAGAGCAGCTCTGGCTGTCCCCCAGCTCTCCAGCAACAAGGAATGGTGTGGTGTAGTGCCTCTTCAGAGCTGCCCAAAGGGCGTGCCCACCTATGCACATCTCTCACTGGTGAGAAAAAGTCCATCTGAGCTGCCCTAACTTACATTTCGCTCCTTATTGTCACAAGGGGCTGTTTCAGCAACCCCATCCAGCTGTGCCCTTTGCCTCCAGCCACATCTCTGACCAACGTAAGGGGCTAGGACACAGTGTGGCATGGGTCTGTTAAGACTGTGCTTCATTACCTGGAGAATTCCCTTCCATGTGGGGAATTCTCCCTGGTGATTGCATCCATGGGCTTTGTTTCCTTGCTGCCTCCTGAGCAGTCTAAAGGAGACGGTAAGGCAATTAAGAATCTGATCCTCTGTTGTTAAAAGTTTCACTTGCAGATTCTCATGCACTGGCCAAAGGTCCTGTGTTTGGACTTCCAATACCACAGGGTAATGATTAATTTCATGTATACATGGTGACTGTTTTCATTTAAAATTTAAAAGTAATTCACAGAAATGGTTTTAGTCTTGTCAGGTTATTTTTGTTAGTCTGTTAAGTGCTACCAGACCATTTGTTGTTTTTTTTCTTGTACATTCTAGAATGTTTTTGTTCAGCTATTTCTGAGCACAAAAAGATCTTAACTTAGAAAGGGCTGAATGAATTTTCCTCACATTCCTCCTTCTCCACCCCAAATCTCCATGACATACCACATCCAGGCTGAGTGCAACCATGACAAGTTTCAGCTCACACCATTATAGAGACAGATGTGAGTCTATTGAAAACACAGGGTTTTTATGGAAGCTATAATCTTAATTTACGTATAGTTAAGGTGGTAACTAATGATCGCTTTCACTCAACTTGTAAACTCTTCCAAATATATTTTGTAATATGATGGAAAGATGTTACAGGAATATGTGGTTTAGAAATTACATTGATAAATTAGATTAGCTAATCTGCTCTAAATTAAGAGAATGAGGTTGGATCTTGTTTTCCACTGCATGGTGGAAAATCCACGTGGCTTGGAAAATTAGTTACTGCCTTTGACACATGCATGCTCAGGAGATGATTTTTCAAGATACGCTCTGAAAAACCCAGCTGGCCAAAACTGAGCCCGGGTGAAAACAGATACCTCTCCCTTGACTTCAGTTGCCTACTTACACCAAGGCTGAATTTGATTCAAAGAATCCAATAACCTGCACAGTTGAAGCCTCTGTAAAAGGTCCTGGTCTGCTGCCAATGAAACAAGACGCTTGTGTCTTGCCAATTTTTCCATAATTATTAGCATATAGATCTGAATTGTGCAAAGACCCTTAATGATAAGGCTCCTTTTCTGACTATATAATAAAACACTAAAAACGTAAACAACAAATAGTCTAGTAGCACCTTAAAGACTAACAAAACATATTTCATAACGTTTTGTTAGTTTTTAAGGTGCTACGAACTAGACTGTTGTTTTTTAAGTTTTTCCTGTTACAGACTAACTCGGCTACCCCTCTGAAGCAATAAAACACTAGTCATTGGAAATATTAATTTATACAGAGGCATAATTTCACATGACATTGCTTGCAAGGGATGGCTTATGATAGAAGTATAAAATGAACATGAGAGTTACTGATGAACAAACTGCAGAATCTAGGTGGGGACAGATCACTACATCATGCTCCTGTTTCCTTTTTGCTCTTTTTGTTTTATTTCCCGACTGATAAATATCTCAGGCCCAAGGTCATCTTAAGGAAATAGTTGTAATGCAATAGAAACATTGCAGTAGGTGCTGCTGTGCTTCTAGCAATGTAACTGACAGTGAGCAAATGTGCAGGACCAGCTCTCAGCTGGGAAACTCAGAATAAATATACAATAAATAAACCAAAACACTAGAGGCAGAATAGCAAATAGATGTATTTGCATAAAGAGGAGTGTGCCACATACCATCTCTGAGAGGGTAGTTACAGTTTTCTTTCCACTAGCAACACCCCCACCAGGCCCACCTTTAGGAAGGTGTTAATCGCATGTACAGCTGTTAGCATGTGTGTAGTTCCATTGACATGATTGAGAAACTGACTGAATCAGGACCCCAAAACTTTTATTTAAGAAGTTAGCCTAGTTAGGATCAAATTTAGATTAGGGATGTGAATGGGTAACTGGGTATCCGGTACCCAGGAGCAGCCCTACAGGGGCCAGGAGCACAAGCTGGCAACCCACACACAGAGGGGGCAGGGGCTGGCTGCCTGGGGCAGGAGTGGGATCCTGCTTAATCGGTTAACTGGTTAAATCTAAGGTTTAACTGGTTAACTGATTAACTGGGATTTTACATCCCTAATTCAGAGGCTGTTAAGAACAGTGGGCCAAATTCTGATATTAGTAACAACGCTCCTGGATTCATAAGGTGGGATTCACAAAGGGATCTAGGCATAGTAACACTAAGCACCACAGCACCTAACTTCCAGGCATCTAAAAAGATCAGGGGAATAACATTGTGTTCCACAAAGTTGATTTAGGCACATGGGCTTCCTACACAATACATGGGATAGAATGGGATCCCAGAAAATGTGAACCCAGCAGCTGCACAGAGCCAGATCTCCCACATTGGGAGATGCTGACGATAGGGATAAGTGCTCAGCTCCACTCCTCCCCAAGAGGCAGGCACCCAGGTCAGGGCTGCAGGAAGGAGGTGCCTCTCTCTGCTTAGCGATGCATGAATAGGAACAGCTGCCTAAGCCACTTCTTGAGATATTGAGTTAGGCACCTGCCTTGCTCCTCCTGAAACAGCCAGGGAAGGAGGTATCCACCATTGTTCCTGCTAAGATATTCCATCCATGAGCAGAGTGAGTTTTGTCTTGTGCACCAATATTGGGGTCATGTGCACTTGTTCGGATGTGTGCCACCCAAGTGGCATGTGGTACCCAAGTTATTAATAAATATCTTATAACCCTCTCCCTTTTCCCTCTGCTGCCATGTCTCCCACCCTCCTCTCGCCCCATCTGCTCCTCTGGTGCCTGTGGCCTCCTACTCCTCACCCTTCTCTGCTGTCCTGGCTCCTGCCCTTCTCACTCCCCTCAGCCCTCCTGGGACTTGCCCCACTCCCCATCCTCTCTAACCCCTGCATCCGCCCTTTCCTTTCCCACTCCTTCCCTAGTCCCATTCTGATCATCTGTAGCTACCCCTCCCCCTCCCCTCTCCTAACACTCTCCTCTACCCACCTGCCCTGCCTCTCCTCTGCCCTCTGGTGCCCATCCCTCCACTCAACTCCCCTCCCCATGTCTGCCTTTCTGTTTTGCCCCCACATTCTCCCGGCACCTTCACCTTCTCTTACCCCCTGCACCCTCCTGGTGCCGCCCCCTTCCCTCACTGCCCCTGCCCTCCCAACTCCTGCCCCCTTGTCCTTTTCCTCCCTGTCTTAGTTTGTCACACCCCTCTGTGCCCTCACACATGACTTGTTCCAACCTCCACCTTCCTCATGTCCAGTCCTCCTTTCAACCCCTTTTCTCCTGGCACCCACTCTTCCCCTCTCCTCTTCTTTCCTCTTGTCCCCATTGCCCCTCCTCTCTTCTCTCCCAGCATCACTCTGTCCCACCTCCCACTGACACCTCCCCTCCTGCCCTTTTCTTCATTGTCTGCACTTGGCCCCCTGGCACTTGTCTCTCCTCCACTCTGTCTCTTGGTGGCTTCCCCTTTCTTCCCCTCCTGGCATTTGTCTCTTCTCCGCCCTGCCCCTTGGTGCCTTCCCCTCTGTTCTCCTGTCCTGGTCCCCTCTTCTCCCTTCAGCATAAGCCCCTTCTTGTTCTGGAGCTGGGCCATGGTGCTATTTTTAGTACCACAGCCCAGGCTCCAGCTCTGGCAGCTGCAACTCAGACTGCATGGTGGCCAGGGGCAGATGACCATTTTGCGGGGCCCCGGGCAGCATAATTCCGCGGGGCCCCCCTTTGCCATGGCGCATGCGCAGTGACGCCATGCGCATGCGCCGCAGCACATGCGTGGGGCTTTCTGAAGTGCGGGGCCCGGGGCGGCTGCCCTGTTCGCCCTGCTGTATATCTGCCCCTGATGGTGGCTACATAGCTGCTCCTGGGATGGACAGTCACCCACCATGCAGCCCCACCCCCAACAGCAGCTGAGGCTGCAGCTGCACGGCTCTGCTGAGGGGGTGGGCAGGAATGAAATTCTTGGTGCACACCCGCACAAGCACATACATTACAGGGAACACTGGTACCTACCTTGTAATTTTTACACTAGTGTTGAGAGCATTCAGCTGGGATAGGGAGGACCCAGAGTCAATTAATTCCCCCATTTGCCTGAGAGAAGAGAGGATTTAAACTTAGGTCCCCCACCTCTCAGGAGAGTGTGTTAACCACTGAGCTATTGGATATTCTGAGGTGGCGGTCTCTCCATCTGTCCTGTTGAAGCTGTTCAAATGAGAGGCAAGCAAGGGGACTGGACCCAGGACTCCCACCTCCTAGGTGGGTGCCCTAACCAGCAGGCTACAGAGTTATTCATTCTCTCTCTCTTCTTCTGTCCAAGGGATTAAGTATTTACCCGCAGTGGAATGGGTGGTGGGCTATAGAGAGAGAGGGATTGTGTAGCTTAGTGGTGAGAGCACTCACCTGCAAAGGAGGAGACTCTGGGTCCAGTCTCCCTGCTCCAATCATTCTTTCATTGCTTATCTACCCTAGAACAGCTTCTACATGAGAAATTAAGGGAACCCACATCAAAATATCCCATTCCCATGAGGCAATAGCGTGACAGGGGGTGGGGGAATTACCTGGGAGCCCCATGGAAGAAGGGAGACTGCAGCGGGGAGATCTGGACCCAGCAACTGGGCAGTAGCAAGGGACCGGCAGTGGCTGCGAAGCTCCAGCCCTGGCCTTGCAGTTCTGGCCCCAGCCATGCAGCTCTGATCTTGGCAGCAGCCAGGAAGCTCCATCCCAGGTGCACAGCTCTGATCCCAGCAGCAGCAGAGCCAGCGGGAACTGGAGAGCTCTGGCTCAGTGAGCGACAGCTGGCCAGGCAGCAGCAGGGTGAGCAGTGGGCGGTAGGGGGAGTGGTTTAGCATGGTCCATTAGGGAAGGGACCTCCCCTGTTCCTTTGTCCGGGACCAGTCAGGTCCCAAGGGTGCTGGACCACAGAGGTCCAACCTGTCATCAGCTCCTTAAGTCCTTCCAGTTACAAGCAGCACAAGCCCTCTGCTCTCAGTCCACAGAGGCTGTGCA